CTAGGTGCGTTCTACATGGTCCCCCTGAAAACAAGACCAAGTTGCGACAACGAGGTCAACCCACTTCTATTTTTCGCAACGTTTCCGCGCTTTCATGCGTCCTCCTCCTTTACGATTATGTACATCTCCAGGATAGGGAAATTAACCAGGTGTATTTCTCGCCAGCCTAACCCACTTTAAAGTGATAAATGAGCTTGATTTCTTCGGCCAATCCTTTTATCCACAATTTCCCAGCCTAGTTTTGTCTAATCGTCCCACTGTCACATTACGCAAACGGATTCGTAAATTAGTTGCCATGACCAAAATGGAAATACGTATCCGGCCGAGAATGTATTTGTGCCTAAAGAAGACACAGCTAAACTGCCAGATGACACAATACTCGGTTACTTCTGGTAAACGTGGAAGAACATTGCGAATATGTCAGAGCCGATGCATGCAACTTGTCATAGTATGAAAATATTTTTGCCTGCACTCTTCCGGCAATTGCGGAGTCTGGAGCGAGTAACATATCCAAGTCGCATGGCGCCGAGGTTCGCAAAGATGGGCTTGACGGCACGAGTTATCGAATCCAATCGAGTGGTCTAGAAACTCAGTTGCCTTCGAAACAAGTCTTGTAGAGCGCGCGTCCTATGGTCGGTAGGCCCAGTTACCTGCTGTATAGTCTACATTTGGCACAACTGCAATTGAGGGCTTGTCTTGTTGTGAGGACAAAAAATGTTTCGCTCGTCTGCTCCCACTCCACTCACCATCCTTGCTCCACTCCTCACTCCCCAACACTTCCATCAGCCCGCTTGAGGCACAATCGCCATTCCTCGCATGGCTTTAGGCTGGGCAAAGTTAACTTTTTGTCGAAGCCGCTTAGCGCTGACCTTTTTGTTTCTCCTGGCACAAACAAGCATGTGGCCTAATAGAGCTGATCAACCCGATAAACAGCAGATCACTTCCTGTCGGCCCCACAGACTGTTGCCTTAAAATCAGCCTATTCTTCACTTAAAACAACTCCCCCCCGCACACCCACATGCCTACAACTACGGGAACACACCCAAAGCACACACACAAATATACATAACACACGACATTCACAAACCCAAGCAAACATGACAGTGTATATACTCGCGTGCACATCTAACTCAAATGAATACACACATTCTCGAATAATGTGATGGCGATAATCAACTTATTGAAAGGAAGAACACAAAAAGAAGTCGCTTAGTTCCCCATCGCCGCCTTGCCCCACGTTCTTTCTGGACAGATGCCTATACCGGCTCTGTTAGTCCCCATATGAGGGGCATTGTGTGAGCAAATTGTGCAGTTATGCATTAGGGGGCATGTTGTGCTGTCGGCATGCCAGCCATCAAAGTATGTGGGACACAAAAGAAAGCCCAACACAGAAACAGAAGTCGTGAGCGTCTTTGCAATCCCAAACTTCCTCTTCGGAGCCGGACAAGGCAGAGAACAATCTGCGGTTGCGAACATGAGAAGTCTGATCAGAGCAGGCTTCGAGTTAATTTCATGCTCATCGCAATCGGCGACATTTGATGATGGCGCCGACGGTATGTATCAGAGATACCGTATCTCCAGCCCACTTTAAACCACCGTGTCAGCTCTTTTGACCTGCACCTTCTGTAATATTCGACTAGACCACCAAATTGGGTCGACATGTCAGCTGCATCAGCAACGCAAAAACGACTATATACAAAAAAATAGCGGGTTTCGATTAATCTTCTGAGATAACATTGCTATGGAGACTTTCATATGGTATGAAAGTCTCGACAGCAGCTCACAAACTTGTTGTACTAATCACCCTTTCCTATCTCCGTATAATTCGGCCTTTTTTGACCAGAACCATTCGATTCCTTCTAGTCTCTGCGGTGTGAAAAGTAGAACCAGTACAGAATTTATTTAATGCCAGCCCTTGCTCCATCATCTGGCGTGACGATGAAATTCTGCAATATCTCAGCCAAAATAATGAAGCAGTTTGCAGTACTGGCCTGGTACGAAAAAGCGAATTGTGTTCTTAATATTGCTATCCCAATGTATAAATAGCAGAACAAATTATATGATCTATTCTTACCATGATGTCAATCTTGAAAATAGTCATCCAATTATCTAACTGGCATTTTAGCGCAATTCTTAATCCTACACAAAAGCTTTTCTCCATTCTTGGCGTGTATTTATTAGCTCAAATGACAGCTAGGCAAGATTCTATTGCGAATTTTCATATGATCTATAGTTTGAGGTTAAGTATATGCTAATAATTGTTATATTAAGTAGCCTTAATATGTAATTTTTGCATATATTTATCCCCCAAATAAAATCTGGATATTTTTCTGGGTTCACTGGTAGTGCTTGAATGGCTACTTTAACTGAAATTTTGGTATATAATAATACCATCTTGAAACATACTACTACTCCTTACTACATTTTCTGATATACCAGTTAAGCAACTATATATAAATTCTTCACTGAATATTATGAATATCCAGCCATTTCCTCTAATTTTCTACGTAATAATCATAACATATTTGGTATCACAATTCTGTTTCTTCTATCAACAATCATAAGCGGAAGGTTTCCTAGCTTAACTTCGAGGAAGTGAATTCATTTTCGAGGCTACCAGTATATCTCATATAGGACCCATATTTACCCTATTTCGTTTATAATGGTGGGCTGTGAGTTGAATTTTCTCGCTATGATATAAGTGGGCCTCATATTTCCTTTGAATTTCAGATAGCATTACTTCCAAAATTGTGCTCTTCCTCAAGATGATCTCACCCCCAGTGGGACTGGAACTCGGTAAGGGAAGCTTATGGTCTTGACACGTTGACCACCCTGGATGAGAATACATTTTGGGAAGAGAGAGTAAGTGAACTTCAATGAAATCATGAGGTCTAGTCATAGAATTGTTCGAAAATTTAACTATCAGTCCAACAGCATTAGCAAAATAGAGTGACTACAGCGTAATACCACTTGATGGCACTGTCAGAACTGGAATTCATTTCTTCAAAGCCTTCAAGTAAACAAGACATTCATATATAATAGCTACAAACTAAAATACTAAGATATAGATCGATATAGAATGATTATATAATAGTTATATATTAATATAACAATAATATAATATAATAACATAAATATAAATATAATACTATTATATATTTATATATTTATATTTAATATTAATCAAAGTATTTATACGTGATTCGTAGGTTTATATGCATGTATGTAGGTCAGTCACCCCAAACGAGGGAGAAGTTCTCGGGGACTGCGTCAACCCGAAACTCATATTTAAGCCAAAGGGCTACATAATAATGAGGATCGGTCATAGTCTTCTGGTGAGATCGACCTACGAATCTATTCATCATACACCTTCATCTGTAATGTACCTTTACACAGCAAGACATTCGCGTAGGCAGAAGGAGTGTCTCAGCGAAGAGCATGGCCTTCGGAAATACCGGAATCATGTGTCCAGCCTGAATCGGTATGTGTGATGAACCACACGCCGTATGTTGAAGAAAGACAGTCGTAAATTCACAAAACCATAATGTCAAAAAGCAAATTATTCTGAATGCTTTCACATTCATCACATTATTATATCTGAGTTGAGAGGGTAAATCTTTACTCCTCGTTTTCACAACCAGATCGTGCTGTCAGGGCGACCTGGAGCTTGGTGGTAGGGTCGAAAAAGGTCACAAATGGTGCCAGCAAAATGATATGGAATGTGCCAAGTTCACGTTACGACACTGAAAACTAGCATAACTACTTTGCCAGATGACACAGACGCAACGCGAATGAGTTGCGAAAACAAGATCAGACAAAAATGGATGACAGTGGGATAAGAGTATAAAGAGTAGATAGATAGACAATGACAGGAAGAGGAGTGATAGTGTAACCGTTTTCGGCAGAACGTTTGTCGAGGGATTGACTTCACTTGTCTCTTCGACGAGTTCGTAGCTTGGTGAGGAGAATGGTAAAGATCACTGATGCCGGCGAAACGTTTGAGAATGTATCAAGTCCACTGTCAGATGCTGGGAGTCATGACAACTAATATGGCAGACGGCTTCGGAATAGGTGCGTTCTACATAGTCGCCCTGACAACAAGACCAAGTTGCGAAAACGAGGTCAACCCAGTTCTAAAAAATGGACGGCTCAAATTTTCTCAAACAGTGGCCCACTAGTAGCACTTAAACAGGCGCCTTCAGAAAGTCTTCGAATTGACGATTCTGCCGCCGGACAATTTTATTTTGTAACGAGCTGTACCGGGTCTGAGGAAGAATCTTGAAAATGAAAAAAATAGATGGTACGTAAAAATGGTTTGACTTCGTTTCTCGACTTGGTCAGTGTGAACTA